TAGAAAACAGTCAAATCTAAATGGTGGAGATTCACCATCAAGCAGAAAACAGCCTTCAACATACAGCTAGAATTGTATGCACATCAAACTTTAATATATTTTTTAAAGAAATAGCAAAGCTATTTTTATTTACCTCACAGTTATCAAGTACTTTGTGTTGCTTTAAGCAGTTCTATCCAATAAAATACCTTTAAGTTTGTGGCTGTCATAATACAAATTGAGAAAAAGATTAGGGAGTGTGAACACATTTCAAAACACTGAAAGCTTTGGTTTTGACAGTTTATGTTAAATTATTACATGTGTTATGTTATACAGGTGTTATATTTTGTTGATTAAAAGGCGGGTCCAAACTGTAGACATAACAGGTCCTGACTATGATATTTGACTCAGTGAAAACTAGAAAACAAAGATAGAACAAACAGCAGAGTGACAACACAGATAACAAAATGGGTAATTCAACAAAAAGAGCCATTGAGGTCAAATGGATCAAACTAAAGAGCTTAAGTACTGAGGGAGAGGTGAAAATGACAAAGAAACCAAAGTAGCTAATCAGATAAGAATGGAAAGTAGCTGAATGAAAGTGCAGGTAGAGAAACTTAAAGGTTAGGAAACAGCTGAGAAGGGAGGGAGCCAGCAGGCTGAGAGAAAGGTGAAAGATGAAGAAAGCAAAGAAACTAAGGGAAAAAACTTAAACTGACTAAATAAACAGAAGGAACGATAAGGAAGAGAACTCCAACTGTACAGATAAGATTTAAAGCATGAAAGTACTAACACAGTAGAATTAACTAAAATACAAGGTATGAGTAAATGAACAATAGAGAATGGTAAGCAAAATAAAACTAAAGGTTCAAACACCTACAAAAAGATGCTATAATAAGGAACTTTTTTTGCCTGGTTTTTAAAATCAAATTAGCTTATTAAATTATTGATCATTTCAGAAATCCAGCATAAGAATTACAAATAGGAAATTGCTTCTTAATGTGCATCTGGTTAGTGATTACATTTACATTATTGTCCTTCACAAAATAATTACACTAATGTGCTTGAAAGGGACAGCACATTTGTTTTCTTAGATTTATGAAAATATATTCGCTTTCGCTGGTATGATTAAGAGTGTTTATGCACATTTCCGTTTATTTTATAATTGTTTTTTTGTTTTTTTTGTGTGCATTCAAGAAAAAAAAGAAGGAGAGGAAGTGAGAGACAGCAAGAAAAGAGAGAAACAGCACCAAGGGATTTGAAATTGGATTAGAAATTTCAAACCAACAAAAGCGGCTCAGCAAAAATGATGCCACAGGTAGTTTATGTGACTATCATCTGATGGCATTTTTTTTTTCCTGCTGGTGCTCCAGGTGCACAGCCAGGATAAATGCAGTCTATCAACACAGACCCAGACAACTAATGCAGCATAAAGAGCAGCACAGACTTTGTTTCATGACTGCAAAAAAAAAAAAAAAAAAAAAAGATTTCTTTCTCCTTTTTTGTTGTTGTTTTTTTAGGTCAGCACATTGCTTGATGCATCACTAATAGGGTTAATTCGAGTCCCCTTGGCCAGGAGGCATTAGCCTAAGAGTTTATCCGCTTTAAGGGTGTCCCCTGTTACATTGACAAAGAAAAACTGGCAGCGTCCCACTAAAGGTGCATACTTAATTTACTCATCAGCTCTTTGCCCAGCCAAATGGACACAATGACAAATATTTTTGCTTTTCTGAATACGTAGTTATTGTTATTGTGGGATCAAAGTGATCTTCATCAGTTCTGATGTCCAAGGGGGCTTGAGCAAATCCAATATATCCAGAAGGACACAAATATTTTTGGAGAAAATGAAACAAGTGATGGGGCACAGCATGTGTACTGGTTCCCTTGCGTGCTGGATGCAAATAAAACATGTGCTTTTGAGAAATAGATGCATCCTAGTTATATTCAGCCAAATGATGACTAACAATCTTGACTACCCAACAGATTTATCTGAATTTATTAAAGTATAGAAAAGGAAAGCTGGTAGAAACTTTTGTTCTTGTTTTGTATGCATGAATGTTTTGTATGTGGTGTGTGTGTATCTGAAGGAAGGCTTAAATCCCAAGTCTCTTTAAATCACTGTCCGTAACAGGTGAAAAGAGCTCTGAGATTCCCTATATATGCATTTAAAACCATGTGGCACCTGCAAAGTGTGCATTACTGCTGCTGAATTGAATCACTTTAAGAATACAATGTAAAAACTAAATCTCCTGGGTATGAATTTTACTATTAAGTTTATACTTTACAAAAAATATCACAAAGATTTAAGAAGACAATGTTGTCCACTGATCAAAACTGGTGAGGTAAAACCAACCAGTATGTGCAAAGAGAGACTGAGGCCAATGCTGCGTCTGCAGCAGGAGTATCAGAAGATGGATATTGTCTCCTGAGTGCCAAAACTATTTTTGGGCTCTCCAGCCCCAGAGTTGTCCCTGAGCACCCTCTGATCAGCTTTGTCATCAGGCGTGAGAGCCGCTGCACTCAGTGAAGGAGCGTATAGGTACAGTCTGACATGATTGTCTTGGGAAAGTAATCTCGCAAGTTTGAGATAAAAATAAATAAATAAATGTAAAAAGTGATGTTTCTCTTCCAACATCATTAATCTTCCACTTTTTAATGTAGAGTTTAGAAATGTGGAAAGTACATGCAAACCAAGATCTGAGTTGCAGCAAACCTCGAGAACAGTTAAATGCTTTATGATAGGTTCAAGAGAGGCTGTATTGACAAATGAAACTGACATATTCTCACTGCTCTGATAAATTAAAGATCTGCTTGTAGCTCTTGTTTATGGGAGCTGAACTTCAAAAAGCAATTTATTTCTATTGCCTTTCTGACCATGCAGGTAATAATAAAAAAATATTATTTACTACTACAAATATAAAAAAAAAAAAAACTCTAATTGTTTTTTCAACAAAATTTTCATTTTAAAACTCAGTACTTTTCCAAACTTTTTCTTTTAGTTTTACAGAAATTGCAACAATAGAATAGTGACAAACTATTCACCTATTGTTTTTTTTTTTTTTTTTTTTTTTTTTGCTGATCTCCATTTTCCAGAAATCACAGATAACTGACATTTACTCATAATCAAGCAGGATGGTAAAGGCTGTTCCAACCTTTCTTTTTTTGGCATCTCAATCAGTTTAGACCATCTCTGTCTCAAGATTTGTTTATAAATTTGTCAAATCTGGACTGGATTAGTTAGCCTACATTTAATACAAATGTTTTAAGGACAACAGCAAAAAAATATTGCATTTGTCAAAAGATCAGATAGTCAGTTGAAATTGCTTTTTTCCATTGTTGCTTCAGACAATTAAATGTCAAACATTGTATCTTGCATAACATGGTTGAATGTGTCATGCGTCTTGTGGATTCCAAAATGACATTCCACACATTTTGTAGTATGCAGTTTTAGCGTTTGACTTTTAGAACTATTGCAACAACAGATTGAATAGTTTTAACTCTTGGAAGGAGTCAACACCACTGCTGATAAGGATCAAACTGACTTGTTATTATTGAATCACCACTATAAAATCTCAGACCTCATAAAACCTTGGAGCCAGTTGGATAAAAATTATACTTCTGGTGTGGCAAATCTTAGATAAAGGATGTTATGTAAATATAAATTCCTATGTAGTGTCAATCAGATTAGTTTGTGCCTTATTATTGTGGAAGTGAAGGAAGCTGGAATTTAACCTACAACATTCTAATTGCAACAAAAGCACTCTTCCAGAGAATTACTATGTCCAAGCACAATATTGAAAAGTTGAGTTGAAGAAAAAAAGATTGGTACGCATATGCACAAGCAGCAGGAACAATTGTGAAGCCTGTCCTAGAATTTTGTATAGATTAAAAAGGCATGGAGTGTGGCAAGAGTCAGAGCTTTATGAGACAGTACACACAAGGAGATATCCTCAACACACACATAAAACAGGGGTAGTGTTTCAATACATATTAATGGGACAAATAAGTAAAAGGACTGGATCTGCTCAGTGTTTCAAAGATGTTTTTTGTTTGTTTTTTTCAGATGAATCACACTTGAAGTTTTCCCAGTCAGTGATGATATGGGGAGCAATTTCATCCACTGCCATTGTTCCACTGTGTATCATCAAATCCAAAGAGCAGTCATCCACCAGGAAATTTAAAATCACTTCATGCTTTCTTCTGCTGACAATCTACCTCTGCTGACTGTTGCTTTTATTTTTCAGTAGGACTTGGCATCTGTCATACGAACAAAGCTACTTTCTCTAATGTTTCTGTGCTTGCCTGACCAGTAGTGGAGACTTGCTGACACACAATCACTGCAACCTGGTCATCTTAAACACCTTAATACAGCCAAGAGGTTATACTGCCTCCATGCCACACTTCAGTAGTCCAGGAGTTCAATGCATTTTTTTTACACTAGTTCTAATAAAATATTAAAATGTTCGGAGACACTGCCTGTAAGCTATAATTATTCACACAAACTGAAATAAAAGGTTTAACTTTAACACTGATGTTTACGTGTAAGACATTTTTTTTGGGTGTTACATTTTTGTGTTGATTTGCTGAAATGCACCTGCATTACTTTATATGCAATTAAGAAATAGTTGAAATAGTTGTTAAATGATTTTTCAATGATAAAGAACAATATATATATATATATATATATATATATATATATATATATATATATATATATATATATATATATATATATATATAAATGTTCGGAGATGTCTTTTTTTGTTATATATATATAAAAACCAAGTGGCAAATATATATATGTATGTCTATACATACTTACATACGTGTATATATATTCGTAGAGCACATAGCCTACTTTACGCACTGCGGTGCATTATTGTTGTTTGTGTTTTGTTTATCACTTGTTTCTCGCGCGTGCAGCTGAGGTAGAAGTTCACAAAGCGCGCGTGAAAGGCAGCGTGATTATCGTTGCGCATTGGATCTTTTAAGAGTCGGTGCCAAACGCAGGAAAGGAAGAAGTCGAAAGGCGGAGGGAGATCACGCATTTACCCCTGCTGACTCTCCATTTGACAGAAGCCAATGCAGAGGGGCGCACTCAGATCACCACAGACAACCTTCTGAAAAAAAAAAAAACGCCGCATGACATCCCACCTATTATGTAGGCGACACAACTCGTTTGTCTCTTTTTATTTCCTCTGGACAATTTTACGCACCCCAGAAGACTAAAGAAAACGCCGCAGAGATGAGTGTTGCGCGGTCTGGTGTGCTTCTGAAGGATTCCCGCTCCTGATAAAGGGACCAAAGAGGACAAAACGAGGCTTTTTTTTCTCCTTAAAGAAGATCGCAAATGTGGAGCGATTAGAGAAGGGCTGATGAAGGGACTATTAATCCTTTCAGTGCACCAAAAGCACCAAGGGGCATTAGAAGCGTTTGGATGGAAATCGGAACTGTTTTTGGTTTTATATGAAACTGGTGATTAATTCTTGAGTTTTTTTTTCTTCTCTTCAACTTCACAGATTTAAGGAGGTTTATTTTCGTTATTTCTTTCTTCCGGTAAGAGGTTTTGTAAAAGTGTGAATTAGCAAGAAAAATCCTTCTTATCTTTGACTTTTTTCCTTCTTCAAGTATTTCTAAATCTAAATGGAATTAGTTGAGTGTGAAGCCGTTTGTGAAAGAAACAGACATGGTACATGGGCACAGCTTCCTTCACGGTAAGACACTATAACTGAACCACACTTGCTCCGTATGTCTTTTTGTTTTTCTTCGTCTTCTTTATAGCCTTAACTCAATTGAAAGGGAACACTAAGTAACCGAGCAACAAATCAAGCTGAAATTACTTCTTAGCAAAATAATGGTAAGGCTGTATTTTGCAGCCTGCAATTTTACCAGCGAAGGTCATAACATAAGTTCTAGCTGCATGTTCTTTTAAATATTTAACATTAAAATCAAACAAGTTCAAAAGAGAAGTAATTATGTTATATTACCCCTCAAACCTATTTTTTGCTTGTATTTAAAAAAAAAAAAAAAAATCTTTAGTGTGTAAAAAAAATTGCTGAAGGAATCTGAACTGTGCTGTCTCAAATCATAAAAAAGGGGGGAAAAGGAGCCAAACAATAAAATATGTATTGTTCTTTCTGATCTTACAGTTGTGGCAAGTCTACTCATACTCGGGTTGTCTGGGGCAACAAAAAAGGATACGGCTACAGGTAATCTCAACAGCAAAAATCAATATTTTTATACCCCATACATATGGTCCTTGCAAACCTTCATTTATCACTGATTTTTTATATATATTTTTTTGTATGAATCTTCAGTGAAAAACAATTCTGGAGTAAAGCCTGCAGGTCAGTGTGGAGCGTGGGTAAAAGAAGCAGAAGGAGGACTCTTCACCTCCCCCAATTACCCAAACAAATACCCCCCCAACACAGAGTGCGTTTATATCCTTGAAGGTGAATATGATCATGACACACACAATAACGGAAATAAGAAAAAAGACTAGGTGTTATAAATGTGTCCTCCCACCCCGTAAATAGAGAACTCCTAAAGTTTTCATTTTGAGTAGAAAGATGTTTTGCCAAAACGAGATTCCAAATAAGTTGGGACCAGTGGGGTGTTATGTTAAAATTGATTTTTTCAGCTTTATATCATGCTATAATGCTTTTTTTTTATTTATTTATTTATCAAAAACATACCTGGTGGAGTGTTGCTTTGGTTCTTTTGTGTATGTTTGCGAAATCCTTTAATCTCTCATGGCAGCCATTTGGGGGTGCCTAAGCACTTGCTCTCACAAAGCTCCTCTTTGCAGCTGCTTTTCCCAGTTGAGCTTCCACCTCTCAGGACACACCTACCACACATAGTTTCCCCAGACTAGTGGCAGCAGCATTTGACAAACACTTGGTGGAACTGTGTGTCTGCTGAGCTTATCATACCAACCACTTATCAGTCTAATGCTCCTAAGAATAGTTGTAAACATACAGGTTATTAATATTAATACTCAGGTTTATATTCAGCACAAATAACTTAATTGAATACTGATTGGTGAGAAAGGTTTTGCTTTGATGAGAGACATAATTGTGTTTCAATGTCAGAAAAAGCTTGGAGAAAATCTCATGACCCCCAAGCTACTTAAACAGCTAGAGTTTTTATCAATATCAATAAAAATATTGACTGTACTGCATGAAATGATACTTTGGGCTTATTACTTTTCAATTTATTTTCCAGCTCCCCCAAGACAGTGCATTGATCTACACTTTGAGGACAATTATTCAATTGAGTCCTCTTGGGAATGTAAATTTGACAACATTGAGGTTCGCGATGGACCTTTTGGCTTCTCCCCGATACTTGGGCGGTACTGCGGTCAGCACAGCCCACCAGATATCAGGAGTAGTGGCCGATACTTGTGGATAAAATTTGTGACAGATGGAGAACTGGAAGGGGTGGGATTTTCAGCAAGTTACAACTTCACAGCAGGTATGTGTTTTTTTTTTTTTTTTTTTTTTTTTTTTAAAGCTTTGTCTTTTTTCATAATTATTTTGCTGGTTTTATTTCCCTTCTGTTTATTGCTGGGTTCCAGATGACGTAGCACCGACATCACCCAATGCAGATGGAGGGCTGGAAGTAAATGCAGCCCATTTATTACTGTTGATCCAGAATCAAAATGTCTAAAGTCTGTGTCCTGTATGGTTGTTCCAACCATACTAATAGAGAGAAAGATAAACATTATTTTCATGTTTCGAAGGTAGTTGGTCACAAGGGAGTTAATTTTTGAAAACTTATGGAAAAAAGAGGAGAAAAGTGGATCAACAATCTATAGCTAAAAACAGGGACTGCAGAAACTAACAACGCCAGAGTCCAGACACTGACATGGGGGTTTGACCTACAACGATTTGCTCCAGCGTCTTAAAACGACTTAATATTAACGTATAACTCCAGCATAAATCTGGGTTTACAGAAGCTAAATAAATTATTTACCGGAAGATCTAAGCTCATAGAAATAACATGGGTTAGTTTGTTGTTGGCGGGAGCATCATTATCATATACAAATTACTTAAAATAACACAATTCACTACTTACCCGGCAGAAACAAGTCAACTTCCATTTAGTGCTTCTTTTGATCCTAAATGCTTGACCCAAATTGAAACTAAATGATTGTATTTTCCAGGTTTTTGAAAACTTTCTTCTTGCTCGTATAAGATGAGGTCTGCAGCACCAGATAGTTAGTTATGTGGATCGCCTCAATGTGGGTAAATCCTCAATATTATAAGAGAAGTCTTTTTTTACCGAGATAATACAGATTATAAACTTTAGTGTCCATTTTCTACTTCGGTTGCATGTTCCACTTTTGCTTAGCTTTTCTCACTGGGCAAAGTATGTGGTCTGAGGTAAACAAGGAGAAAAAAAAGGACCGGGATGACAGTTTTATCTTAATTAAAGTGATGGGTGGGACGCATTTGAAATATCTGGCAGATACTCTATTTTTTGCGAAAGGCACTTACCATTTGTCTTTCGTGTGAGTGAAGGCAAGGTTTTCTTGCCTTCTTTAAACCCATGGTCAGGGCAAAATGAAGTGAAAGTGGCAGTTCTCCACTGCATTATGAAACAAGTAAGAAACTCTGGAGAAGTTCCTCCTCACTAGTGTGACTGAAATTCAATCTGGAGGGACTCACACAGAGAAAAAGCATCAGTTAGGAAGATTTATTTGGCCCAAAGTTTTTTGACACTTGGACACCAGCATAAGACCTGCATGCTGAGGATCACCACGAGCTTAGATGGTCGGCTTGGGGCAAAGCTCAGGGTAGTCTTCTTTCCAGGTCTGGATACTGATGGTGGAGCAGAAGGAGTGTCAAAGGACCCTGGAAGGTGTCTGGCAGGATGAAGGCAGAGAAGGGGAGGAGGTGGGTCGAAGCGTGGCTGCAGACCAGGTGGACCCAAGGTTGCTTGTCATTTTGAAGGAACTTGCGCTATGATTGGCTGGACCGGAGTGGTGCTCCGGTGCTGGTTGGCTGAGGTAGGGGCATGGTAATTGGGTGATGCCATTAAGGAGGGAGAGTTTCCGAGCTTAAATTTACACCTAAAATTTCATAAGTACAATAATTTTTTTTTTTTTTAAATAGTGGTTTGAAATGTCTGTTGTCAAAAACTTGGTAAATGGCAATATCATTGCCAGCTCATTACTATCCACATCAATCAGAATTAAAGAATGTGTTTATCAGACAGTTTCATAATTATTATATTCCTTCACTTGCATTTTATCCAGTTTAAAAAAAAACAATAAAATTTTGACTCTTGAGAGGCAAAGTGCCAAAAATCCCAAGGTTGTCTTTCTATGTCTCTTATGCCCCTTCATGGGCATAGTACTATCAGGCATTAAGGGTTTGTCAATTGTTTATGTGTTGAACATGCTTGGAGTACAAAGATCTTTTGTTCAATAAAAATGGAATCACCTTCTGGCTATTGAGGAGGAAGCGGCTAAGCAGAACAGGGGCTAAAGATTTATTGGTAATGACTTCTGTTATTGAGAAATCAGAATGCCTGAGTCCTTTGTGGCAAATTACTATGAAGTGGCAAGCACTAGTAGCAATGAAATCTGTCCATATCATGAGGCACCAATAAAAGTCACAGTGTTATACTGTTGTGTGTTGTTTTCAAATGTGATTTAGCAAGAAGGCAAAGAAAACTTAAGTTCAGTTTAATGAAATTATAAAAAATCCATCTATTTTCTAGTTCATGAACAGCAGTGATAAATAAGCCGTAACACTTCTTTTTCTGCATTGTACATTTCAAGGATTATTTGTTCCCTCTGGTTCACTTGGACGTCTCATTGAAAAAATTGCTGATAGAAAAGGAAAAGGCCTCTCGTCTTGATAGAAAATATCTGTGGCGTATAATTTGCATAATTAAAGAAGATAAAAGTCTTGAATTCACTCAACTTGATACTCTGAAATCTGGGAATATGAATAGTGTCTTGCATCTGCAGCTGCTCTCTTAGCAACGCCTTTTCAAACGGCCCTGTGATGAATGGGAATGTAGTGGCAAAGAAAGGCGACATGAATCTGTACCTCTTAGTTTCTTTGCAACAAAGGAACTCTTTTTCCCCCTTTTCCTTTAATTTCCAATTTTTCGAAGCTACATGCCCTTAATGACTTTAAATACCACGTGGGCTGTATTTTAAAATGCAATGGTTTCTTGAAGTCCTTTGAATCTTCACCCCTGTAGTGCTCTACCATCCACCAATTACAATCTCACTGACAATGATTAGTGGAACATTTATTTTGATGTGTTGTTCCCTGCAAACATCTAACTTGAGATGAGATGTATATTCAGTTGGAGATTGTATCCTTATATTATTTAGTTTTCTATTAAATAACAGAAATATTGTCTGAAAACTTTAATTTTATATGACAGCAATGACAAATTTAAATTTAACCAGAAAGGTCAGGTTTCTGAAAGATATGCTCATTTCTCTGTTCTCAACACTTGGTTTGACCTCCTTTTTCATGAATTACTGCATCAACACAAATGTTTTGGTACCTTCGCCAATGTGGGCAGCCTATTCCTACTGGAAAATAAAATCAGCATCTCCATAAAGAATGTCAGTAGAAGGAAGGATGAAGTGCTTAAAATGTCATGGTTAATGGCTCTGTTGAGTGTGGACTTCAGAAAGCACAGTGGAGCAAGACCTGCAGATGACATGGCACCCTAAGTCATCACTGACTGTGGAAGCTTCCCCATGTGGATTGTGTCCCTCTCCGCTCTTCTTCCAGACTCTAGTGCATTAATTTGCAAATGATATGCAAACTTACTTCTCTGTAAAAATAGGACTTTGGACCACTGAACAAGATTCCAGTTTTTGTTTTGTTTTTTTCTCCTTGGCCCAGGAGAAGAATGATTTCAGTGAGCTTGCATGTTTTAGGGACTGTGAATTAAACCACAATTTGCATAATTCAAATTTACATTTTTGCCCTTTCTGCCATAGACATTCCTTGTTTGTCAATTCTTCAAAATTCAAAACTTCATTCATAATAATAAATCAGACATTACGTATAATTTGCACTAATAGCCTTTAACTTTTTACAGCACAAATTTGATTTAATCACTAACTTATTTAAACCAACTCTTAGCAATTACGAAGCGGCATTACACATTAGACAATTCCTTTGAGTTAATCTTAGTTAATGCTATGTTTTTCTTGACAGACATCAGCCTCACAGGAAAACAAACATGTTACATTATTTCAGAAACTTATGTCAGTAAAAGACTTGAATAAGTATGTTCAGTAGATAAATTACAGAACACAGGAACTGTGGTAAAAGTATGCAAGTGTATATGTGCAATCCTAGGGCTATTTGAACATTTGAAAAGCACAGTGCTTTTTAAGTTGTTCTAAAGCACTTTTGCCAGAGAAATGTGTGGATTTTATATTTAACGGTAATGGTAAGGGCGAACCAACCAGACAAACAACAGAGGAAAGCCGTTGTGGTAGATGTAGCAATATCAAGCGACTGCAACGTCAGGAAAAAAGAGCACAAGAAACTGGAGAAATACCAGGGCCTCAGGGAGGAACTGGAGAGGGCCTGGAAGGTGAAGACCACAGTGGTGCCTGTGGTCATCGGGGCCCTCTGGGCGCTCGGGATTGTCACCCCCAAACTGGAGCAATGGCTATAACAGATCCCAGGAACAACATCAGACATCTCAGTCCAGAAATGTGCAGTCCTTGGCACAGCCAAGATACTGTGCAGAACCCTCAAGCTCCCAGGCCTCTGGTAGAGGACCCGAGCTCAGAGGATAAGAACCACCCGCGGTGGGCGAGAAGGGAATTTATATATGTATAATATATGTCAGAAGAACTATTACTGAAACTTATCAACACCCTTACGATGTTATGGGATGATTCCTAATAATTAAAAACCTGATCATGACTCGTAACTAAGGTGACCGACTTATGCAAGAGAAAAAGTCAATCCAAGCTCCAGCTGCACTTTGAAATGAAATGAGTCAAGTGGCATTTAGGATTATGGCCAGAATAGGATATGTGGGCCTATCATCAAGAAGCCAGCATCATGATATTGAGCCTAGATGGGCTCAAACAGGGAAATTGGAAATTGAACCATGGAGATTGACTCGTCCCTCTTGGAAGTAACCCACTTCCACAGCACCATCGCTGTGGCCAGATAAAAAGTCAGGCAACTTCTGATTTTCACATCTCCCTCCAAAGGCATTTGCCAGTGGCAGCATGTGACATTTCATTGTTTGTGTTTCATTTTATTTTAATTGTTCTGAACAAACTGAGATTCACAGTGGATAAGGACCTTTACCAGACTGTAAAAGACAGAGAGAAAGAGAAAGAGAGAAACTAAGGGATTCATGTCATTTATTTGTTTTGTAAGAAAATGTGAGAGAAATGTCTCATGTGGCGATATTATGAGAGGAATTTTGTCTTGTATTGTAATCTTCAGACAGTGTGTGACAAT